GGGGGCCCGTACCAGGCCAGTCACATGGTGTTTCCCTCCTCCCTCCAGAACTTGTCCTCTTACAGCACGAACAACGCTTGAGACTGGGGTATTGTGAACGTTCTCACTTTGGGTTCCAGAACTGAGAAATGCTTGTGATGTCAATTACTTTTAAGCTGCCAAAAAATCTTTAGTTGTAATATTTAGCAACTCCTAGATTTGCTATCTTAGGAGCTGTCTATTTTCTTAGATCATTAGAGTTGCCTGGGGCCCAGCCTTAACTTGGGGACTGATTTAAAGGGGTGGGGGGTGAGAGGAGAACCCTCCATACTTCTCTGGTGGTTCTGATAATGCAGCCAGGTTTGAGAACCCACAAATTTTTAATTAAAAATAAGTAGAAAAACCAGCACAGGCTATTTCTTTAGATTACTGTAATTTCTGTCCTTGAACAATTCTTTATGTGTGTCCCTTAGGCTAACACTGGACTTTGGCTCTTATAATCACTATTGGTAGACCCATTATAAAACTAGAAAAACTATGGGCAGGAAACAAGAGGTGCAAATTCTGAGGAACAGTTAAGATTATAATCCTGGGTCCAGTTACAGCAGAATTTGTTACTGCTTCTTTCTGATACTTCTTTCAAGTTCTTGAAATAGTCAAGAACTTGGCCAGGCACAGTGGCTCATGCCTGTAATCCCAGCACTCTGGGAGGCTGAGGCGGGTGGATTGCCTGAGCTCACAGGTTCAAGACCAGCCTCAGCCAGAGCAAGACCTTGCTTCTAAAAATAGCTGGGTGCTGTGGCGGGCATCTGTAGTCCCAGCTACTTGGGAGGCTGAGGCAAGAGAAGCATTTAAGCCCAAGAATTTGAGGTTGCTGTGAGCTGTGGCACCACAGCGCTGTATTGAGGGCAACAAACTGAGACTCTGTCTCTTAAAAAAAAAAAAAAAAAGCCAAGAACTTAATTGGATTACTGTGGAGTATCTGATGCTAGCAGCCTTCTACATGTTGGTGCCACTAGTAAGAAGTTTTCATTGAGAATATAACTAGTTTGGTTTTTGTGCTGCTGCCATTATATTTAGTACATTGATTCCTATATGCTGAAAAGTGTCCTGATGCTAAGATGTAGGGTGCAGAACAGGAGAATCTGGTTTGGATTACCTCTCTCGGCTCAATGCTTGCTGTCTTGTTTTTATTCTCCCCCCACCCCAGGATGTTGCTTCAGAGTGTGAGGTCAAATGCATGCCGACTTTCCAGTTTTTTAAAAAGGGACAAAAGGTACGTACATCTCCCCTTTCAGGATCCCTGATAGAAATGCAGAAAGCACTGAGGGGACTTCACCTTTCGCAATGGGAGGCACTCACCACTCGCTGCTTTTAAGAATTGTGACTACATCAGGACGGTGGCTCTTGCCTGTGATCCTAACACTCTGTCTGGGAAGCCGAGTCTGGTGGATTGCCTGAGATCAGGAGTTTGAGCCAGAGCAAGGCCCCTGTCTCTACTAAAAATAGAAAAACTAGCCAGGCCTTGTGGCGGGTACCTGTAGTTCCAGGTACTTGGGAGCCTGAGGCAAGAGAATCTCTTGAGCCCAGGAGTTAGAGGTTGCTGTGAGCTGTGATAACCACAGCACTAGCCTGGGGCAACAAAGTGAGCCACTGCCTCAAAAAAAAAAAAAAAAAAAAAAAAAAAAGACTGTTTCACTATGTCATTCTTCATTGAGTTAAGTACGTAATGTAACATCTAACTGAAAACTAAATCCCTGATCTGGGCACTGTGTTTATATCATAAAGTACATAGAAGTTCTTAGACTCAGGTGGTTCATTGTTAAAAGGCATTTGTGTTTAAAAAAAAAAAAATGTACTTAAGCCTTTTGACTTGTTTTGAGGATTTTCTTTAGTTTTTAACTGTAAAAGAGAACTGTATGTTATTTGAGCAAGCTTAACTAGGATTATGCTTTCTGTCTCTCTTCCCTCCACCCCTGTTCTTTCTCGATTTTATGATCATTTGTACAAAATAGTGGTACCAATGCTACATCTCATGTCAGTTCAATATTCTCTCAACAGGTGGGTGAGTTTTCTGGAGCTAATAAGGAAAAGCTTGAAGCCACCATTAATGAATTAGTCTAATCATGTTTTCTGAAAATGTAACGAGCCCTTGGCTATTTAAAAAATTTTTTTATTGACAAAAAATTAAGAAGTATGAAGCCTATATACCAACCACCATCTGATTACAGTGATAATAAAATATTGATTCTACCCTTTTTAAAACTGTCTGGTGTCTGAATAGTTTTCAAAATAAATGAAAAATTATTACTTCATGTCCTGATTATTTTCAGGTATTCTCAGGCACTTTTCGTAACCTTGTAGGCCTCCGATTATTTTACGGTTTTTAAAATTATTACTACACTGTAATGTATTTCTAGGAAACTCTTGTTGCAAGCAATGTAGACACTCTAAAATTCTTTAGTTTTTTTTTTTTTTTTCTGACATGTATAAATAGAGAAAAGAGTGTTCTCTATTCTAGCCAGGAAATCCACTTTTCTGACTGCTATGCTTTATCACTTAGAAATTCTTCAGACTTAAAACTCAGAGGGCGCTCCCTTACCAGGGGGATTTTGATTTTCCTTGAAGTATCTAAGAAAATCCTGTTTTATAGGGCAGATAGAGGTTCCAACCTGGGTTGTAAAAGTTAACTCATTATTTCATACAGAGAACATTGTTTCTTATGTTCTAAACACAAAAAGGGGTAGGGGGAATGCTTGAATGGACAGCTTCCAAGTTTCTGTAAAAATGATTGTCATAGAAATGATCATATGGAACGGATCACCCTCCTCTGAATCTGTGCGACAGTCCTGTTAACGCTGTGACTCCCATTTACCAGTGAGGAAACAGGGCAAAGACTGTTCCAGCGAGGAAGTGCAGGAGCCAGGATGTGAACCAAAGAAGTTTGGTGTCAAAATGTTTGCTCCTAACTGCTGTAGAGCGTCCACAATTGACCGCCTCATTCCACTGACCTAATTTCATAGACCAGCCTTGCACCACATGTACATACAGTACAGTAGGCCTAGTTCCTCATGTGGACCAGTTTGTCCCAGTCCCTTGGGTGGTCAGCGTACAGAGTTCCTACCTTAGTATGCGGCCTCTCCAGGGAAACCCTGAAGGCAGTGAAATGATGGCCTCTGACCTGGGCTTTGTACCTCACCCAAAATTAGGGTGCTGACCCAAAGAGTTTGAGGTTCCTGTGATCTAAGACGCCATGGCACTCTACCAAGGGTGACCAAGTGAGACTCTGTCTCGAAAAAGAAAAGAAACAAAATCCCTCTGGAGTGATAGGGGTGGAAGCTAGTGTGGTAGGAACAGAAATCACTCTGACATGTGTCCTAGAGGAAGTCTCACTTGTCTCACTTTCTGTAAAGGATGACTGCTGCATCATTGTAGCAGCAAAAACCAATTGTATCTCTGTCAATTGAAGACTTGTTGACTTCAACACGATAAATAAGAAGCTATTAACACCCAAATAGTAAAAATCCCTACATCTCTGTTCAGTGAACAAAAAGTTGTAGAGCAATAGTAAGAATGCAGAACAGAACGATTCCATTTGTAGGAAACACAGAACACGCTCCATATCTCTGTAGATAAATTTGCATATAAATTAACAGGAAAAGATCTCTACGGAAACATTTTTCCACCAATCACAACAGTGACTCCTGGAAAGAAGATGCTGAGATTCATGGCTTTTAAGTTTCATCTGTAAATGTTTAGATGATTCATTAAAAAGTGTATTCATGCATTCCTTATAAATTAAAATTTTCTTAAAGAAGAGAAGTCAAAGAAGCAGCAGGGTTTGTAGAACTTGGTATAGAAGGCTGTCATGATGGATTTGCTAGCAGACAAATGGGAATGATGCAGAGGTAAACGTGCATTTTATAGCACAAAGACGATACCCGAAAAGGGAATTCCTCAGATAGTCAAGAAAAAAAGGGAAAGCCCTTTTTGTCACAACAAAGGGGACACTCTCTCAGTCTATGGCAAACATAGCTCGCTCTGTAAACCTATCTTTCTCAATAAACTTTATTTCACACTTAAATTTTTTTTGAAAAATAAAAAAGAATGGGAGGACATTATACCAATGAAATAAGCCAAAGAAAAAGATAAATACTGTACGATCTCACCGATGTGGAATCTAACAAAGTTGAAATCCTGGAAGCGGAATGGTAGTTGCCGGGGTCTGGGGGTGGGGAAATGGGGAGATGTTGGCTATGGGTACACATTGGCAGTTATACGATGATTAAGTTCTAGGGATCTAATGTACAGTTGTTGCCTCGAAATTTGCTAAGAGATCTTAAGTGTCCTCACCACACGTGCAAAAGGTACTTACGTGTGAGGATGGATGTGGTAATGAACTTAACGTGATAATCATCACACAAGGCATTCATGTGTCAAAGCACTGCATTGATACCTTGAATAGATGTAATTTTTATTTGTCAAACCTCACTAAAGCTAGAATTTTTAAAAAAGAGAGAAAAGAAAGAATGTGATTCAGAGCACAGATTGGTCTTCACTAGGAGGAAAGACATTTCTCTCACCGTAACCGGTGGGAGGAATATATGTGCAAATTTAGATAAGATTCTCAGTTTAGGAATGGGAAGATGGGACTTCTATTCTGATGGTTTCTACGTTCTAAAATGGAGATGGGGGAGAGCAAGCCAGCAGTCTTGAGGGGAAGGAAGGAAACAGTTACCTCCAGGATGGAGGAACAGAGCATGGTTTCTGGGCACAGGTGAGTGCCCACGCCAGGCTTGTGAGGGCTGCAGAGCCTCACTGTGGTGCCCCAGCCACCTCGGCTGCTTTCATGTGGGCAAAGGTGGAGAGTTGGAACTGGGGCAGGCTCAGGTCTCAGTGAGTCCAGTAGAGAAGGGGGATGCCAAGGAGGTGACGGCACTTTCAAGGGGGCACTTTTTGAGTAAACACAGAAATTCTTTCCGTTGTTAAAACATTGAGGTCAGATAGATAATTGCCTTTAGCTCATGCTACACACAATTCTTAAACTTTTTAAAAGTTTTCTCTTCATATTTTAGCTAGTAACCAATATCAGAAAACTTGATTCATGCCATCAGATGATACAATGTAAAACAATGAAACAGCCAGCACTTAAGATTGTTAAACCACTGTTAAATTAGCAATTGAAATTACATTTAAAACAAATGGGAGCTCTTTCTTTCCTTTAATTGCCCAATATAGTGTTAAAATTTACTGTGATAATACCAACAGATTTGAAATCCAATATCCTGTCTTCACATTAAATTTTTCAAAGTGGTAATGCAACCAGTTTTCATGATACAGGTGCACAGCAGGGACTTTGGGGCAAAAGAATCAGATATATCTAATTTGAGTTCTTCAAGGATTCCCCATATGTCTTTCCCAAGAACTCAAATTAGATATGTCCAATTCAAATTAGACCTCCCATTTGACCCCACAATCTCACTACTAGGCATCTACCCAGAAGAAAAAAAAAAACCATTTTATCACAAGGACATTTGCCCTAGATTGTTTATCGCAGCTCAATTTACAATCACCAAGATGTGGAAACAACCTAAATATCCATCAACTCAGGAATGGATTAACAAACTGTGGTGTGAGTATACCATGGAATATATGAAGCCATAAAAAAAGGTGGAGACTTTATATCTTTTGTATTAACCTGGATGGAATTGAAATACATTCTTCTCAGTAAAGTATCCCAAGAATGGAAAAGCAAACATCCAATATACTCCATACTAACAGGAAGCCAGTAGGGGATCTAATTCACACCCACATAGGAGAAAAGCTCACTTCAATTCAAGTTGCCGGGAGGGGGAATCAAGGGAGGGGGGAGGTTTGGGGTGATCCCACTGATTCAGCACAGTGTAGGCGTGTACGGCACACCTTTTGAGTGCCAGACATAACTAACTACAAGAGGGACCACTGTACCTAACAAATTCAAATATTGTGAATATTAGCCTCACATTAACCTGAAAAAAAAACAACAACCCACAATCAGACACATGTGACGACAGAGACTGGGGCTGCTGCTTGGATCTGAGCCTTCATTCCACCACTCCAGTTTGCAGCACTCCCCTCCCCCGACCAGCCCTACCTTGGATTGAGCTTCCTGGGTACCAAGGCCAGGTTCTCCCTCTCTCCATGGGCACCTCGTCATCTGCAGGCGGTGGAGAACACGGACGAACCTGGCTCACCCCAGGCTGCCATCCACGGAGCTGCAGGAGAAACGGCTTGTCCTTGGAACCGCCAAGTCCAAGAGCAGCCTGAATCACTGGCATGTGAAGGCACCAGTGAGAAACACCCAGTGAGAAAGACCGCTGGAGGCACTGCGTGGATTAGAACAGTGGCTCTCAACCCGGACTACACACTCAGATCCACCAAGCTGCTTTAAAATTATACTGGTAGCTGGGGCCTCCCTCCCAGAGAGTCTGATTTAATCGCTATGGGTGAGGCACAGGCATCGGTAATTTTTGAAAAGTTCTCCAGCTGATTTAAATATGAAACTGGTAATGAGAATTGCTAGATTAGTGTGCCCTAGGGCAGGGATGTCTGTGAGGGGTAAGGGCAGTGAGAAGCTGGAGGAGCCCGCCTGTTACTGGAGAGTGAAAGAGGAGGTGCACTGTAGACAGCCCATTCTCAGAGTGTGGACCTGGCATCTTCAGCAGATGCAGGGGCCTGGGTCTCCTATATGTGATTAGAATCTCCAGGGATGGGACTCAGGTGATTCTTAGAACACTCAAGTTTGAGACAGGATAGATTTTTTGGAGATAGAACCTACAGCATTCTATCATTACATACAGGTATTAATATCAAGAAGAAAAATTGACTTTAAGAATTCACTGGAGTGTTACAGACCCCAGTGAGACATGCACATATATTCACTAAAAGGAATGTATTAAAACAAGCCTTGGCAAAAGCAGCGAAAGAATATATCTGGACAACCTTCAGAAAATTAATATGTAATTCCTACAAGCTGTGGTTTTGAACTGGCCTGTTATGCAGCAAAATATAACTGATATAGCTGGGGTGATATTTGGGTAACTGCCCCTTGTGGGAAGTGGGCATGACTTCAGAGTACAGAGAGAAATTGAGTGGAAGAAGCAATAAGTCAGAGACAGGAAGAATGAATTGACTTGTTGACTCATCTTAGCCTAAAGGCAGTTTGACTTGTATAACAAAGTATCATTCCCCTATAATGCAGGAGAATCCTTTTTCTTGCTTTTCTT